TCGTTCAAGAGCACTGGAGATATTGTGTTCAGACTATTTGTCGCTAGCTGTGAGCTATGAGACCAAGAGTGTCATCAGTATTATCAACTAATGCGATAATAATTAATGAAATTTAAATTATAAAATTCTATGAGGGCACTGAGATTGTCTGATTTGTATAATTATTGTATGCTAACAGCAATACAAAATCTTTGAACATTTAGATATAATTACCAAAATATAACAAAGGGCTGTTGTTTTTTCTACTGTTCATTAAAGTTAGATTGATACACTGTAGGTATTTTGTAACTTATAAAATTAATAAACGACGTATACCAGAGTTTCATTAGAATACCTACCTACATAATAATTAAGTATAATAAATTACGAGTTCTATATAATAATTCCGTAAAAATATTATTTAAGTATGTGTGACTTATAAGACTTAGTTAGTTCTATTATTTCCGTTCGAAGCATTTCCTTAACTCCCTCCAATTATAATGATGATATGAAACAGAGCCGTAGTTAGGCAATCAGATGAAAAACAATGTCATTATTTCTATCTAATTACGAAAATTCAGGTATCAATTATTTCATATACTGAGAAAGATTGTTTTTTACAAATTCAACGTTTACAAGACATTAAAATTGCACAATATGAAATCATAATATGCCAATGTCAAGGCATGATAGACCTTTTCTGAGTGCCACCATACAAGATTTTCTAACAGTAGCCTAAAAACTACATATCCAAATAACCATAATAAGTCGCACCGCAAGCAAAGTGTCACACCTCACCAGAAATCGAAAATATCGAGTTTCTTTCTAGGTATGCCTAGCAGGAAACGATATTTTCGATTTCTTTTTGCCCGATCTAGTGTTAAGCTATGTACGAAAACCGTACGTTATTTGGGTTTTGTTAAGGCTCTACTGTCTGTCACCAGACTATGTCTCATTTAAGTGGTGCTCCAACAGACGTGATTTTATTGCCGATTTTTGCCCGATATTATACTGTCTAATGTTGTATAGACAATGGTACGGAACCCTGTGTGCGCGAGTCCAACTCGCACTTGGTAGGTTTTATTTAACTTGTAATTTTAAGGTCAAATCTTGCAACTGAAATTCAAAGCAGTTATAGTCAACAGTCTGAGATGACATTTTACATAAATATGCGGATAATTCAATGTTCGCTGTGTGACGTCATTTTAAATCAAATATGTCCGTGGGCCGCCCGCCGGCCCATAATGGCGGGCTAGTAAAATTTTGTGCACTCCCATAATATGGGTATAAAATGAAAGGGTTTGTTAAGAAAAATATGAATAAACTAAAATTACTGTTTTTAATTATCATTTAAACAAGAGCTTGATTTTTAAATAAACTTATTTTTTTTGAGTTCGAACTTGATATCAATACACTTTCTTTACATTTAAACATCTAGCAGTAAAATGCTTATAAAATAAACAAAACACTTGCTAGATTCATTGAAATGTCATCAAAGTCCGAGTCCGTCCCTGCTTGCGCCGTGCGTGCCAGCAGCGCTGCGTCCGACATTATACGGACTACGGACGGACGCGTTTAGCGCGCGGCACGCACGCAGCCTGCGGAGTAATCACTTTCAATTTCCATGCGCGCGCGCACTCTATTACTGTCTCAAACCGAACGAATGCTAATTTTGTCATATGGTTACCTAATAGCTTTATGACTGTAGTCAAGACGTGAGCGCATTCCTTTCTTCTTTCCGTATTTAATATAACTTTAGATGTTTGATTGGAATTCCGGCGGGAATAGGGGATTACTACTAAGCCTCCGTTGTCCTTCCCACCCATCTATTAGCAGACTTACAAATGTGTGAGTTTGTATTCTTGTGTGTATGTTACTCAATTACGCAAAAACTACTTTATGACCTAAACTGAGACATAATAGACCTGAACGGAAATAAGTTATGTTCCTGTGGGATTCTCAATAAACTAAACTTAACGCGGAGGAACTTGAAATGATATGTAGTTTTTATAAGAATGTGTATTTCTATAGCCGCTAAAACAATATTGGAGTAAAAATAAAAAAGGGGTTCAAATCCTGAGGGCTGTGTTGCTTATGTTAGTATTCTTGTACGATGATACGGAACCCTCCATGTGCGAGTCGCACTCGCTCTTGTTTGATTTTTTACTTTCATTTCAACTGAAACGCTTAGGGTATTTATGTTTTATTAATTTGTTTGTGTTACATCTAGCTTTTAGACACAACTCGTCTTCTCAAACTACAACCGGATATGATAATACTATCTACAACCTTTTCAAAGTATCTTTATGGATCCAATTCTAATTGATAAATATGTAACCAATCACCTTTTAAGTTCGATTAAAGTTAAAGTTATTACTTTCTTTGGGATAATAATAGACAAAGACTAGACGTCGGTTTATCATGCTTTAAATTTAAAACGTCTCGTCTCGCAGAAAATATAATCTATTTCGATTGTTGCTGTTACACTTTAAAACCTGACTATTTATAAATGGATATATTGATGGATATTATGGATGGATATTTAATTAACAATTCTTTGAAGGTCTATAAAAGACAAAGGTTAGTCAGGTGTTATTTATGGTTATTCAAAAAAGGATTTTTATCTTGATTTAACATGCATGCCAGCAAAGTTATCTTTGTGTTAATAACACTGTTGACTCACTCATATTCGTCTGACAATCATCTGAGCTCCGTCAATATTAAACATAAACTCGTTCTCGAATTTCTCTCAACTCCTGGTGTCAGAATACGGGGCTATGATTTTGAAACTTATCTACTCTCGATAATCTCACAACACAACATTAACGCCTAGCGTGATCTACAAAATTATTCAGTTCTACAAAAAACTTCTACATTGAAATAAATTATATGAATTAAGCTAGCTTACTTGTTAAATTTTAAGGCTTGTTTTGTTATAATTAGAGTAAAAGCTTGTTTACAAAATAGAGTATATTCGACCTGACAAAAATTTATTTAAAATGTCTCTTCATAGAAAAGAAGGAATAATATAAGTGCCATATATTAATTAAGGAACCCACTAAATGTTATGTCCTTCTTCTTAATTAAAGAAATAGCTACTAGTCTTTTGCTATGGTAAGAAGCTAAGACATTAACGATATGATTATACAAATCAGAAAAAATGATAACACAAATTGTATGTTTAATAAAGATTCGAAACCAAAACTAAATAATTGTAACGACTCCAATTTAAAGTTAAAAGTTTCAAGTTCGTTTACACCTCGTAACTGAGAACGCTCGGCTATGAGACATCAGAAGATATTAAAATAGTATCAATTCACAGAAATATGAATCTAGTCTTAAGTTAACCTCTTTTGGGTTAGCTTAAATGAAGAAATTTTAGAAACCCAGATTCGTTCAAGCTGCTATTTAAATTTAACATGACGATAAACAACAGAAGTAAACATAGCTTATCTTTTTTTAAACATGAAAGCTTTTTAAAATGGTATGTAAGTTTTTCCTCACACTCATCAAGCACGGATTCAAAGATAATTCCTTATCAGTACTTCAAATTCTTGACGAAAAAGGGTCAAATGTTTACAGTAGGTAGGTAGTATCATTTCACAGAAATATGAATCTAGTCTTAAGTTAACCTCTTTTGGGTTAGCTTAAATGAAGAAATTTTAGAAACCAAGATTCGTTCAAGCTGCTATTTAAATTTAACATGACGATAAACCACAGAAGTAAACATAGCTTATCTTTTTTTAAACATGAAAGCTTTTTAAAGTGGTATGTAAGTTTTTCCTCACACTCGTCAAGCACGGATTCAAAGATAATTCCTTATCAGTACTTCAAATTCTTGACGAAAAAGGGTCAAATGTTTACAGTAGGCATTCTCTCGTTAGCGAGGCTTTTGTTAATGAGCTGTTACTTTTTACAGCTTACTGAGAAGTCATTCTAGATTACGTCGAGTTGTGTCGAAGTTATCATTAAAGTTAATGGAAGCAAGTGCTCTAATCTCTCTAAGTCTAAATTCCTTTAATATGTAATTATATCAACAATATGATGTATCATTAGAATCCTTAAATAATAACAGGTGACACTGGAAAATTAATAAGATAGTCAAAACCACCATCTGCAGAGGTGAAAAAAAACTTCGGTCATGCAAAATGGATATCAAATTGAAGGCCTTGATGAGCACATTCCAAAACCACAAATTTAATATACATATATATAAATTAAAAGGACAATCTATTTTAAGAAATTAATAATAACATGAGATATGTTTCCTTTAACATTTTATTAAATAATATTATCAACCATATTCCTTTCTTATGCATTAATAGATTAAACCTGTCTTAATAAATACCTTGTATTACATAATTTTTTAATTGTCATTATAAGTCCATAACTATATTACTATGCCTGTGATAAATATTTTGTCATTCCAGAATGGTTGACAAAAATATAAATAAATCATGTATTTGTCTTTGCCTTAAAAGGAACATAGCCTCAAGATAATTTTTATGCTACATCACTGGAGAAACTGACATGTGTGAAGATGGCAAGACAAGATTTCGAAACCTTTTTATTTATTTAGAAATCTTCACTGAGTATTATAAGCTGAGTTAAAGTATTTTGACGATCGTATTGTTAGTGTTAGGATAGTATATTATTATTCGGAACCGCAACACTTAAGTGTGACCTTTCGTCATTAACACTTATCACTCTTGATTTCACTTCAATTATTCATGTAAAATTTTACTATTCATATTCGCAACAACAACCATTTTTTTTACAATATTCGCTTAAAAAACATTCAACGCGATTAAATATAGCAAACTTTTACCAAAATTTTCAATAAAATCCCGTATATACCTAACTATATGTTAGCTCCTATCAAATTCTATTTCTAATAAGTTACCAGTTGGGTTTGATTAAAGCTGAATCATACAAAACTAAAAACCTAGCCACTTAAAAATCTAAACTGCCAACTCCTTCCCGTATAAGACAATTTAATTTAATAGGACGTCGTAACTCACCGGCTCGGGGGCCATGGTCTCCAATCTAATCGTTTCCGAATCTACTCGATCATCACTCAACTTTCACCGGGTTCATCACCTCGCATGCATTAATCCTCTCATATCACACGCGACTGTTATCACGATCCACTGGAGTTCACAAAGTCATCGCAGCGTGCGCCACCGGCGGTAATCGTGGGTGAATGAAGACTATGGGTAAAGCACGAAAAAGTCAACAGTTCCCACGCGAGAGAAATGCGCGCCAACAATAGTATTGAAGAGGTTGCGCGCGAGTCGAAAGGTGGGCAAAAAGCAAATGAACGCAAGCGCGCGCCGGATGGATGGGAGCCTCTCTATACCTGCTGACCCATTTCAACGTTACAATATTGTGGAATTTTAAGCCCCCATGGAACCTTCCCGCGTGCCCGCTCTTTATTATTCCTTGGCTATATCCTTTGTAACAATATCCGATCGATCGATATCGAAACTTTTCAAACTCTTATTTTTGCAATTATTGCTTTATTTTATTGTTTAATCAGATATTGACATCACGTAAAAACAAAGGCCATATCTTCGAAGCTTACTTCATGTGCAATTTGCTAACACGAACACGTTCCGAATTTTAATATAAATTCCGAGCTTCTAATAGCCACTTTGTAGGTATTTAAAGCTAAAACGTGTTTTATCACCTTTCAACGAAACTTTTTTCAAATTGAATTTTCAAACCAATGCTGATTGATCTTCACTTACAAACGTGGTAGATAACAGGGTATCTACCACTTTGTAAGTGAAGATCAACAAATCAGTACAACTTTATGTGGCAGGATATTTACTTCTTTTATCTATTAAAGGTGGTAAACAAGCATTTTCGCCCACCTGATGGTAAGCGACCATAGCCAAGACCAGCGGTGGCCGACTTGATTAGACCCAAGATCTTCTGTTTACTGTCTAAACCCTGCGCGATCTACCAATTACATACTCATTGAAATCTTAAATGAAACAGCACAGCACAGCTTAGTACACATTTATGTAGTATTTTGTTATTTTATTAAGAGGGCAAACATAAAACTGGATTATTAGCTATGGTAACTACTTATTTATATTACTGTGAGCATTGTGTTCGAGGATTTTCCCTTAGATAAGCAAAATCGGGTTTGTTGTTGGAAATTTCCCACCTTTAAGAATCTAACGTATAAACGTCTGCCAAGAGCGAACGGTGTTTATTTTTTGTTTGTAAGGAAAATGCTGACTCACATAAATTAAATATGTTGAAACAAAATACGAATGCAGTTGTTCAACACATCTCTTGAAATTTGGATATTTCTCGTTGGAAACTAATGCCCAGAAATCTAGACATGAGGATGGCCTTGCTTTTAGAAATATGTCACAGCGCAGAGTAATTATTTAATTATTACATGTAGTCCATTTGAAATTTATCTGCAAATATAGCCATTTCATAGATATCACTATAGAATAGAGGATGAAGATGACGCATGCAGCAGTTGGTGATTACGATGCACAGTCTATTCTACGCATAGGTTCTACATATTTATATTTTTGCCTGGCCACGATCGATTGAACTAATAGTCGCGATTGACCGGTCGGGACTGGTTGGCCACCTCTGCTGCTGTAGACGCTTACGATACCATAGTACCTAATTTCTTGCACGGTTTCTACCCTGACCACATTCTCCCGTAAATCTCTTCAATTTTTCATCTCTGAAAGGTTTGGTTAACGTATTAGAAATGGAGTTCTCAATATAAGCTTCAATATAAGTTCGCAATATGGGAAGTAAATTACCACATACATCATCTAAATAATTTCCATGCCAAATTCAAATAAGTGAAATTAATAAATGTGTATGCAGCTTTGAATTATTTTGGCATTTTGTGTATATGAGTTCGGCAGGATTTGTTAATTTTCTTTCCTGTTTAGGGCAGGATTTTTAAACTGAACATTGGAAATAATAAAAAATTAGACGTGTTACATATTATAATGCTCAGAAAATCAAATGCGATGTTTCAAAAAAGGTTTATTTATTCCCCAATTCTCCCAATAGACAACTGTGACATAGCGGGACTGCACCTTATTTATCTATCAAACCCGCAATTATAACCTTTTTTCGATGACCACGAGTGACGTAGAGACCCCGTGGGGTCGTTACTCAGGAATGCGCTTACACTTTAAAAGACTGACCAGTAAAAAGACTAATACATTAAAGACATTTTTCTTTTACTCTTATGTCACCATGATTGTTACTTACCTAACTAGTTCATTTCGTTCTTTCAACGATAAGATGTGAACAATAAATATATTGTTCACATAATAAGGGATCCTTTTATATATGCTTTGACGACGCGCTCGCTTAAATTAAACTATTCCAAGTTCGATCTCTACTCGATCCAGATTCAATCTCTACTCGATCCTAACTAGATATTATATTGATTCAAATTCGATCTCAACTCATTAAACTTTACTTAACAACTTAAACCAAACTCCAACTTCGCTCGGTCCAAAGTCGATTTCAATTCAATGCAATACAGTGCAATTATGTACGATATGCTGTCGCTACATCGAGCAATACTGATGCTGCATCATCCTCTTCTGAGAGTTTAATCACTCCTAATGATGAATAAGATTCTGACATAACCTTCTAGCCTGCTATAGGGTATAGGATGCTACAACGATTTCACATGCACATCCATTCCCCCGTCTAGGAGCAAAAAAAAGTATAAATAACTGTTGTTTCATGCCGTGTTTTTTATAAATAGGCGCTCTATCGGTACTTTTAAAATGCAAAGAAATCAGAAATCAATGTATCTTTATTTAAATTGGATATAAAGTACAACTCATTGAATCATCCAAAAAAAATTTTTTCCCTACCACTCCTTATTGGACATATTTTTAGTATAATGTAACAACATTTACTTATCATTGTGCTGTTACAGCGTCAATACAATCATGATTTATTAAAAATAGAAAACCTGTTGAAATGATTGGAACAGTTCAAACCCAAGCATTTTTGTCAGTAATATAATCAGATACTTTGTAATAAGCTTTTTTAATAAGTGTTTTTTTATACTATCTTTGACTTTATTTATTGTTAACTCATGGATATTGGCTTGGGACTTTATTATATAAGGGAACACAAAGACCTTTAAACGAATTATTGATTTTGTGAAGCCTAGTAGCAGGTAAAGTTAGTTTACTTTTGTTTCTTGTATTAAGTGTGTGAACATCACTGTTTTTATGAAACAAATTAATATTTTTTCTTACAAGTAATAATTTTTCATTATGCCAAATTCTTTAAACATATATCTTAAGGATTCTTTAACTTAACAAAGAGAAGCGGTTCGACTTTGAAAGCTTTTCATTACAAATAGTTAATGTTTTAACAATTTCGAGTGCTGACCGTAAACCACACCAGATTGTCACAATAATATTGAGCTAATAACAAGTATTGATTCAGACATGTTACACAGATATGGATTTTTGTTTTTTATTCAAGAAACAACAAGAAAAAGAAAAGTTTTAGTTTAATATTTTAGACATTGTATTTCTTATGTTTTTGTTATTTAAATGTTTCTATTATACACATAAAAAAATATTAAACTCAACATTTTTAAACGGTTCTTAATAGATATTTAAAAAAAAAATCTAAAGTACTTAACTACCGATAACTATAATAATATTAATTGTATACTCTGACATAATAAATATATCTATTAGCTACATTGTTTCAGGAAGTGGCATGCATTATAAATTAGACATTTTGCAATTTTCCGACATGTAGTAAACAATAGTATCGTTGTCAGATAGAAATGTGCACACTTACCTTATTTGTATTGTTTTCCTAGTTTATTACATTGCGCAAATAGTTGGTGATATTTTAACAAATAACAGGAATTCTTCTATACTACACTAAATGTAAAAAGCAGCCAAGTGCGAGTCGGACTCGCCCATGAAGGGTTCCGTAGCAGCAAGTAACATAGCATAAAATAACGTACTTGTAGGTAGTTCGTTGTAAAAAATTTTTTGAGTTTCTGTTATTTTTGTTTTGAAGTATCGGAAACCCCCAAAATTTATTCCTTTTTTTCTATTTTTGTGTAAAAATCTAAATGCGGTTCACAGAATACATCTATTTACCAAGTTTCAACAGTATAGTTCTTATAGTTTCGGAAAAAAGTGGCTGCGACATACGGACGGACAGACAGACAGACATGACGAATCTATAAGGGTTCCGTTTTTTGCCATTTGGCTATGGAACCCTAAAAACGATAGGAAATAACAATAAGTCTGAATGATAAGCCGAAAGCTTTCTATCTGCAAAGACAGATTATTAAGACAGGTGGGGAATAGCGTATTTTCCACTGGAATTGGAGCGCCCTTCTGGGGAAGTAACCTCCACTCTACAGAAGACCACAGTAAAATGACACTACCTTTCGGTGGTGTTGTGTTTCTGTCGGTGAGTATGGTTCCACGGGGTAGGAGATTGGATTGAGTCAGGGTAGGCAAGAGAGAGGCGCGAGTGATATTTCTGAAGTGAAACTTCTTTAGGCACGCTTGACTTGGGGGGTAAACTGGCGAATGTGTTACGATTTCGCGTTACGATTAGTATAATCGATGACTCATCGGTAAACAATGAACAATGCCCGTCACAAAATACATGAATCTAGTGCTTGGTGAGTGATAACAGACGCAGCGCAGATTGGTGAGTGATAACGGACCCAGTGCGGATTGGTGGATGATAACGGACCCAGCGCGGATTGGTGAGTGCTAACGGACCCAGTGTAGATTGGTGGAGGATAACGGACCCAGCGCGGATTGGTGGGTGAAAACGGACCCAGTGCGGATTGGTCAAGTAGATGATAACGAACCCACGCGATTAGGTGGGTGATAACGGTCCCAGTGTGGATTGGTGGGTGACAATGGACCCAGTGCGGATTGGTAGATGATAACGAACCCAGCGCGATTAGGTGGGTGATAACGGTCCCAGTGCGGATTGATGGGTGACAATGAACCCAGTGCGGATTGGTGGATGTTAACGGACCCAGCGCGGATTGGTGAGTGATAATGGACCCAGTGCGGATTGGAGGGTGATAACGGACTTCACTTTCAATTCAGTCGTGTCGTCATAAGCACACTCGCTTTTTATTTGTATCGCAAGCTGCTATAAGCTGTGGTGGCCGTTTAACATCAGGCGTTCCATATGCTTCTTTGCCAGCTTTCAACATAAAAAAACAGCCTATGATCCTTTTACTCCCAGTTCATTCCTCATGTATAATGATAAACAAAATTAAAGGTC